GAAGGCAGTTGGCACGCAGGGAGTGTGGGCAGAAGTGCATCAGTGAAGGCACAGTGCATCAGTGATGGTAATTCTGCTGCCGGTGCTCTCAGGCAGTTGCAAACTGGCTCTGCTTCGTCTCATCATCTGAGGATTAAGGGAGTTTATCTCAATTCACATCGAGATTACAAATCAGATTAGATTCTCAGCTTACTTGAGCCATATGGAGCTTGAAACAAATCTGATATTGAGCACCCTCATTGCATTAGCAAGCCTGCTTTGCAAAGCTGTGCCTGAAACCTGTAATGGCATCCAAGTCCTCCAGCCCTGGTGCGAGGAACACTTCTCCATGTGAGCTTCTTACTCTGTTCAAATCTTTCCAGTAGGATGCTATGAGGATTAATTAGTTAATGTTTATCAAGTGCTGTGAAGCTGCAAAGTGTTATTTAAGTGCTGTCTTTTTTTATCAGTTGGGACTTGGTTCTGTTTCCACCTACACTGGTTTTGGAATTGGGTAAATCCATGTATTTCATGGTTCCCAGTGTGTGTTTCTCAATGCGGTTCCCAATAGAGTTCCCATTGACTGTGGTGCAGGTGTCTTGGTCCGTGCCACTCAATGTTTGGGTTTGCTCCAAGGCTCTCCAGTTCTGCAATGGCAAGCAGCTCATGGTGTTGTGCTCAGTGCTGCTTAGGATTGGGAAGGAGGTTTCCATTGGTGTCCAAGAGGAGCAGCAGCTTCTGGTGCTTTTTTGCTGATGCATTTTAGTGCCAATTGCAGAAAATATAGAGATGCACTGATTTATCCCGTGCATGTGTTATTTGAGCTTGGTCTCCTTACGGCTAAAACCTTCCTAAGGTTAAGATTGCCAGGAGCAGGTTTGCAAAGGGTCCCTTGATGAGGCTTCCTCCAGAGGAACATGTGCAGGCAGTGGTTTGTTATCCAGGTTTTCATGTTTATTAATAAAGCCAGACATCAGATTATGTATATGTTAGGGGACAGGGTGAAGCACATCAACTGGAAGTGTTAAATGTAGTGCCAGAAGGTCTGAAATTCCACCACTGTACACCCATAAATCTTGCTACAAGCATCCTGCCCTAACTGAACGCCTTGGCTGGGGATCGTGGTGTGCATTTGTGCTAAATATCACTTTTCAAGAAGTGGGAATGTGGGTTTTGGGACTGGTGCTGGAGAGAAGTGGGAGAAAGGCACGCGAAGCATGAGTGATCGCACTCCTAGGGAAGAAAGCATGGGAGGGAGTGGAGCAGCACACGCTGGCAGGAGGCTCTGTCGGGCGGCACCGCCTGCCTCGTGCTTGGCACTGGTGCTGGGTTTAGTGGAATACTAAAAATAGGGGTTTCCTTTCCCGTTACCTGCTGGGAAGCTCTGGGGATGCTGTCTGGAGTTGTCTGTAAATGCCTTTAATCATTAGGAAGGCAGCAGAAAAAAACATGGTGCTGTAAGAGGAGATGGAGTGTTGGGGAGCGCAACACAGTGGGCACTTGGGGGAGGTCTTCGTCTGTAGCCATATAAGCCTAAAAACATGGGACTTCTCTCTTTGAAAATAGCTAAGCCTTGTCACCGTGCTCTTTGAAAGCATGGGGTGGAGGTGGTCCTGTGTTTCAGCAGCCTCAGAGCCTGTCACAAACAAGGGCAAGTAGTTTGTAAAGAGCTTTCTAACCTGTGTGCACCACGGGCTGTAGGGAGGGGGAAAAACAGCTCATGGTTTAGTCCAGGATTTTGACATTGTCCTGCTTTTAATAAGCGAATAGTTAATCCCTGAGGAATGACTGGTAGCCTTTATAGTGTTCTTATAGCAACAGGTGTTAGATAAGAGATTTGGGCAGGATATTTTTAAATAAATACGTTTTGGAAAGCTATGTCTAAACTGTGATTTTGCTGCTAAGGAAGGAATGCTGATGGACGTCCTGTCAACCAAGGATCATATCTGTTCCCCGAGAGCTAGTGCTGAACAAAGCTGTGTGGATGGCTTCCTTGAAAAGTTCTAGAAATAGCAGAACCCTGGGGAGGATGGATAGCAGTCTTATCCATTAGTTCAACACCTTGAATTGCTGGTATTGGGAACATTTTTGTGCGCGATCCTGGAGCTCTCCGTGGTCTTGAAGGGTGTCTCCATGAAGTTTGACTCTTTGAACGTTGTCTCCTTGAGCATTATCTCCATAAAGATTGACTCCTCCAATGCTGACTCCTTGGACATTGTCTCTTTGAAGGTTGTTTTCATGAAGGTTGTCTCCTTGCAGCACGGACTGATCTGCCTTGCTGGAAGCTCACACCAGCCATAGATTGGAGCAGCTTGACCATCATTGCCTATTTGTGAAGTCTGTTAGTGATGCTCCAGCTCTGCTGCACCCTCGTCCTTGGGCTTTTGCTGTGAATCCACGCACGAGCAGATTTGCTCCTTGCCCCCAAATTTGAATGGTGGCAGAATCAGTGTATAGCTTTGAGTTGGTAATACACAGCAAGATGTAAAGGAAGATCATCTGTAAGAGAAGACTCATTCTGTATAAGCTATATTTAGAGATGATGGACCCAATTCTGACATAAATTGCTCACAAATCTGGAGTTGTTCCGTGTGCTCGGGTGAAGATGCTCTGGATCCATGCTAGTGTAAAAGAGATCAAAATCTGGCTGCTTCCCTAAGATGGCCGGAAAGAGCATGAATGAATCCCCAGCAAAGCAGGGACATGCTCGGAAATGAGCCCCCAGCTGGCACTGCTCAGCGTGCTGGAGCTGCTGAGAGCTGCTGCAGGCAGTGATGAATTAGAGGATAAAGAAGTGAAAATGAGCTGGCAGAATCTTTAGGTGACTCATCAGGTGCATCTTGTAAAGTCTCTTTCTGAGAAGTAATGAAATCGCATGTTCTAACAATATTTGCACTGCAGCGGGAAAATGCATAAATATTGGGATCAATTAATGAAATTAGATAACTTGACCAAAAAAGCCATAGCGCTGGCTCAGAAACCATCCCTCTTCCTTTTTGCTAGTCCCCATGCTTGCAGTTGGAGAGGAAAATCATGTGGTTTGGTTTCACAGCTAAGTCAGCCAAGACGTGGTCAGGCGCAGAGTGACTTGTAGGTCCTCAAATTGGTGGGTTAGTGTCCTCACATGGCCTCCCACCCTTTGGTTTAGGGGTTGGTGAAGGCAGATCCACCTTGTGGCTGCTGACCATAAAGATTGCTTTGTAACATCGTCATCTGTAAAATGGGGAATGGCATTTTTCCTTAAAAAAGGGAGGTTATTTTTAGGAAAGAGATGGATGTGTGCATCAGCCTGTGACATTTAGGGGCTCCAGGAACTCATTGCACGTGGTGACTTTCATCACAGAGTTCCAGATCTGCAGTGAGAGCTGAATTCAGAGTGAAATAGAATCACAGAATCATTAAAGCTGGAACAGACCTCTAAGATCACCAAACCCAGCCCCATCTCATCCCCACCATGCCCGTAACCACGTCCCTCACTGCCACATCTCCATGGTTCTGGAGCACCTCCAGGGATGGTGACCCCACATTTCCCTGGGCAGCCCATGCCAATGCATTACCACTCTTTCTGAGAACAAATTCTTCCTAATGTCCAACCTGAACCTCCCCTGAGCAACTTGAGTCCATGACCTCTTGTCCTGTTCTGTTACCTCTTGTCTTGTGGCTGCTGGTATCGGTGGGACAATTTCTGCTATTTTTAATAGATTATCTTATTTCAAAAGTATTCTCATGGATTCGTATTTGAGGACGGTACTAATGCTTAGAGAAAGAAGAATGGCAGAACTGAGCTTAACTTATGCTGTAAAACTAACTAACGCGTGAATGCCTGGATCTCTGCATTGGGCAATGGAGGAGCACAAGCTCTCTGAGCAAAAGAGCTCTTGCTATCTTTGGATCCATCCACTGCAAGAGCAGATCTCGTCAGGTTAGCCTCCCCTAGGCCTGGCACTGGCACAACTGTTGTTGGAATGATTTGTCTGCTTTCTGGCGTCCTCGTTTTAAGAGGATGTTGACAAATTGGAAAGAGCTAAAAGAGCCACGAGGGTGGTTAAAAGATTGGCAAATGTGCCTGGCCAAGGAAGCAGCCAGGCTTTTAGCTCTGCTGTTCTATTTTTTCCTTTAAGTGAAGGTTAAAGGGGGATTTAGCAGCTCCAGGTAGCCGTGTGAAGAACGCCAGCAGACAGCTCTGAAGGCTGTCAGACAGAGGAGCAGCACCAGTGGCTGGGAGCCAAAGCCTGACCATGGCTGGAAGGTAGAACAGCTTTTAATAGGAAGGACAGTTTAACTGTTTGGATATTTTATGTGAGCCCTGTTTGATTTGTCCATCTCTAGAAATGTGTATGTTGATACATAAATATACATCACACATACAGCTTCTCTGCCCAGAGATGTTATGGATGCCCCATGGGGCCCCATCCATGGAGGTACTCAAAGGCAGGTTGGATGGGGCCATGAACAACATCATCTGGTGCCTGTTTTAGTGGTTCACAATGCTGTCTGCATCAAGGGCTGGAACTCATTGAAGTCCCTTCCAACCCAAGCCATTCCAACCCAAGACTCTATGATTCTTCAATTCTGTGATTCTATGAAAATGGGGATTTTTGTCTTCCAGATAACCATAAGCTATGCAGTGGTAGTGGTCCCCTCCCCATCACCTCTATCTGCAACTCATGCACGCTCTTCAGCTTCTATTATTCATTGTTGCCCAAAGATCTCAGCTGTCTGAACCAGATGTGAAGTATTTTGATGCCCAATTGCAGTCAGTAAGACAATCTCTGGTTTATAAAGCTTGTGACTGCTGTTCTTTCCTATTGTCCAATATACAAAGCATAACTTTTCCACCCAGCATCTTGCTGGCCACTCAAATTGGAAGGAGCTCAGTCTGTAAAAGTGCTTTCAGTCGAGGACAGTACCGAAAATTTCCTGCTGCAGCCTTCAAACAGCCCCAGTGATGAATATTTGGGGGTTGGTGTGAGACTTGGGAAAGCCTTTGCTAACTGTTATGCTCTCTTTTGTTTTTCTAGCTGTGGGGAGCTCAAAAAATAAAGCAGGTAATGTGCTTTTTTCTATGTCCTGACTGCTCGGGGCTGCTGCTTTCTCCCTTTTTGCTGAGCGATGCTGTCCTATCCATTCCTGACTGCCAGTTGCTGGTTTCCTTTATTGCAGACATGTAAATGCAGCGAGTGCTGCCACCCAAGAGTCTGAGTTTTTTTATCTTTTCATTGTATTTCTATATTTTGACATCTTCATTTTCTTCCTCCTGTCTAATCAAGAGGTTTCTTGGCCCTGGGCTTTCAGAAATAGTTTGTTAGTTTTTCTGACTGTGCCACACCTCCTCCCTTAGGCACATACTTGTGAACTTGAGCTCTTTGTAATAAAAAAGAAAAAAAAGGTAAAATTGCAGCTTCATTGCTGCTCATCGGCAGAGCAGAATTAGGATTTCCATTGAATTTGGGCTTGGCCAAGGAGATACAGGCACAAGGGATGAACCTGCTAGAGAATTTCATGTGGATGGATCCTTATGGTGCTGTTCACACCTGCACACTTTTTATCCCACCTCAGCCACATTCTGAAATAACATTTCTGTATTTCAGGCTAAATTTCCGTATCATCTCCTACCTTATTACTTAAGGGGATGGGAAGACAGCAATAGGAGAGGGTGTGGGACAGGAGGAGGGGATTTGGGGCAGCAGGAGGGGGTTGGGACAGCTCTTGGAAGCAGTAGAAGTGATATCCTTGCACAGCTCCAGCATTCCTATGCTGTTACTCTGCCCTCACTATGGCTGTTTGCTGATTCTTTTGCAGGCCATCATCCATCCCGACACAAACGAGACCATCTTCATGCCTTTCAGAATGTCAGGTACAGTATGTCCTAATCAAACAGTCATTAATTTTAGTAGGAATTTGTACAAAACGGAATCTTTTTTTCCTTGTTTTTTTTTGTGTGTGTGTGTGTTGTATGCTGTAAACATTTAAACCAGTAGTCCAAGCACCCAAATCCCTTAAAAATCAAGCTGATTTGGGACCCTCAATACCTACCTGAGGTCTAGTACTTAATATTTCCCTCTCCTTTTCAAGATGATATCCTTTCTGGTATCCATTACTATAATGATGATTTTAACCCTCTAGTAAACAGCCTAACTTGAGGGTTTGAGTGCAGCTTTGGTCCTTTCCCCAAACTCTGGGAGCTGTAGGAGGGGTTGCATCCCTCTTTTATAGGAGAGTTAGGACCAACTCCATAGGATCCATTCCATCAGTAGGACCCACAGGGAGCGTCTTCACTAGATAAGGCAGCCTAAGCAGAGGGGAAAATAATGGAGCTAGTGGGTTTTGTTCTTATTCTTTGAAGAAGGTTGAATTTGAGGGTGAAGTATGGGGACAAAAAGCTCAAGACCTACTCCTCTGCTGCCTTATTCAGTATTTTTAGACAAATGTTTTGTCCTCATGGGTCATTGCCCCTTCTGACTGTGAATTGAATCCATGAGGTGTGTAATTCAGTAACACTGACAAAATGCTGAGACCTTCCGGTGGAAGTCATAGAGATGGGTTATAATTAGCACAGGAATTGGCAATCTTAGCAGAGGAAAAATGTGAAGCCTTTGATTTTTGTGGCGCTTAACAAGATTTGGGGTAAAGCCTTCTCTAGGGCAGAAAGCTCTAACTTATACCCCATTCCTGGAGGCATTCAAGGCCAGGCTGGATGTGGCTCTGGGCAGCCTGGTCTGCTGGTTGGAGACCCTGCACATAGCAGGGGGTTGGAACTGGATGAGCATTGTGGTCCTTTTCAACCCAGGCCATTCTATGATTCTAGGATACCTGTGATTAAAATAGCTGCTAGGTGTGCCTTGTACCCTGAACCCATAGCACTGTTAGATTTATTAGGTGTGATGCCTTTGCAGCCCAAAATGACATATTAAAATGCATGAATCTCTCTTTTTTTCTTTATTTTCCTAATAGGTTACATTCCCTTTGGAACACCCATCGTAAGTATTTTAATGTCCCTCTGTGCTTTGGTTGCGAGTAACAGAGAATGCATTTTTTAACACTCACACACAATTCTCCAGGCTGCACCTTGCTGCCTTGCTGCAGATTCACACCAGCTTCACGCCTTCCCCATCATCTACCTGTGCCATGTGTGCTCCAGGCCAGCCGTCCATCCAGCAGCATCCTCCTGCTGCTTTCTGCAACATCCTCGGCTTTGTGTTTCCAGCAGGGAAAGGAAGGACTGGGAGGAGCTCACTGCCTTCTGCAGCTCATGGATCTGTCTTTGGGGGCATTTATGCCATTTGCACGTTTTGCAAGTCACTTCCCAGCCATGGCAAACGCAGGGAGCTGGAGGCCAGCGTCTCATTTCCTTGTCTTCATTAATTAAAACAGCAAGGGCTTAGTGCTGAGGGTGTTCTTCATTTGTTACTGTGAAATTTGTAAGCATTTGGGTGCTGTTGACAGCCAAAACCAGAACGAAGATAAGTCTGCATTCCTTGTCTTCAGAGCAGCAAATATTAATTAACCCCATTTTGTGAATGGGGAAACTGGGGCGCAGGGCTTTGTCCAAAACCACACAAGCTTGTGCCAGAATGCTGAGCGAATCCAGCTCAGTCCTTCTACCTCCAGCTCTTCCCTCAGCCTACCGCATCCACCTTATTATAACCATGGAAAGAACAAATTGTGCCAGGAAAGGTCAGGTTGGATATTAGGAAAAATTTCTTCTCTGAAAGAGTTGTCTGGCATTGGAGCGGGCTGCCCAGGGAGGTGGTGGAGTCACAGTCCCTAAGATGTCCAAGAGCCGTGGAGATCATAGAATTTGAGTTGGAAGGGGCCTTTAAAAGTCATCTAATCCAACTCCCGTGCAATAGATCAGGTTGTAGGTGTGGCATTTGGGGACGTGATTTGGCTGGCGTGATGGTGACGGGTTGAAGTTTGCACTCGATCATAGAGGTCTTTTCCAATGTTAATTATTTTATGATTGTATGAAAAGCTGCTCAATTTAATCTCCCTAAACCCAGTGGACTGTGGCATGATGCTTATGGAGCGGTAGCGATCCCTTCCCGAATGGTGGCAGTGGGGTGGCTGGGAGCTGAAGGCAGAAAGCAGCCCCCAGCACGGCTGTTGCTATTTGTTGTCATGTGCAGCGTGGCGGCGGTAACTCTGTATGGGGCATTTTAAAGGAAAAGGTTAAACAAAAATGAGTTAACGCTCAAATTGACAATGAAATCGGCCCCAATCCAGAGCTGTCAGAGGAGCCGAGAGCTGTCAGATGAGCCCAATTTCGCTAGCTGTAAAGGATAAACTGGAACCTCTTGTCATTTAAAAAAAAAAAAGAGAAACCAAACGTTTCAAATGTTAAAATTAAAATGTAACATTTATGCCAATCGATCTGTGAAATTTAGTGACAAAATTGGCAGCCTGCTCTAGCATAAAAACAGTTTGAGCCTTGCCTTCAGCATAGGGGGATGGGATTTCCTCAAGAGAGGCTCGGGGTGCCTGCGGCGAGCGCTCGCCTGGGATTAAAGCCTGGTGATAATAATCGTTTCTTTTCTGGATTAAGCAGCTCTGCCAAAGCCAAATCCTGTGGCTGTGTGTGCATCCCTTGGGCAGAGACTGGAGCTGCAATCTTTTGCTTCCACTTCCATCATTTCTGGGGCCATGTGCATGGTTCAACCTTCATCCACCTTTTCACCTTTCAGAGGTTTCACTCTTCCTTGCTTTGTGTTCCCAGTCAATGAGTGAGGTTTGTCGGAGTTTAGGTAATCCAGCCCAGCACCCTCTGAGCACATCATTTCCTCCAGACATATGAAAACGGGGCAAAACATTTTGTTTTTGCTGAGCTCTCATTGGGCTGGAAGAGCCAGCCGTATTGCCAGCAGATCCAGCTCGTGGGCAGGACTCATGACCTTTTTGGATCATGTTGTTTCAGGGGTTCAAGGTTTTCTGGGGTTCACAGTTTTTTGGGGTTTTCTTTTTTTGGATCTTTTGGGTTCTGTTTTTTGGGAGTTGACAGGTTTTTTGGGGTTCAGTTTTTTGGGGGCTCATCATCTTTGGTATTTGCCATCTTTTGGTTCTCCTTTGAGTTCACTGTGTTCTGAGTTTGTTGTGTTTTGGGCTTGTCATCCTGTAGACTCACTGTTTTTGAGTTCTTTGAACTCACCACTTTTGGGTTCATGGTCTTTTGGATTCGTGGTCTTTTGGGCACGTTGTCTTTGGAGTTCACTGTCTTTGCGTTCTCCTTCTTTAGGCTCACCACTTTTTGGGTTCATCTCTGAGGTTCATTGTCTTTAGGGTTCATCGTCGTTGGGGTTTGCTGTCTTTGGATTCTCCTTCTTTGGGCTCACCACTTTTTGGGTTCATCATCTTTGGGGTTCGTTGTCTTTTGGGCTCATCATTTTTGGGTTTCGCTGTGTTTGAGTTCTTCTTTGAACTCACCACTTTTTGGGTTCATGGTCTTTTGAGTTTACTGTCTTTTGGGCACCTTGTCTTTGGAGTTTGCTGTCTTTGGGTTCTCCTTCTTTGAGCTTACCTTTTTTTTTTTTGGTTCATGGTCTTTGGGTTTGTTATCTTTTGGGTTTGCCACTTTTTGGAGCTCACCAATTTCTCAGGCTCCCCATTTTTTGTATTCACCACTGTTAAGGCTCTACACTTTATGGCTGCTTTCTGAAAGCTCCTGTATCCAAGTCCTCCGATTGCCATTTCAGACAACTCCATAACAAATGGGTGGGTGAAATTTGGAACCTCGCTCCTTTGTCCTCTGGGATGCAGATGGGGAGCTCAAGACGCCTTGTTGGGACTGGGGAACACCTGGAGCAGAGCCTCGTGTCCCTTGCAGGTGACAGGCAAATAGAGCAGGGCTCGAGGCTGCAAAATGAGAACTCAACTGCAGACATGCCGAGAGCCGACAGACGTCTGGGAAGTGCCTGCAGCCCTGGTCTGCAGCCACAAAGGGCTGTTTGCACCTGATAGGCAATTAAATTTTGTTAGTTGGTACTTTTCTAGTGTTTAGAAGCTTTTTTTTTTTTTTTTCCTTTTTTTTTTTTTTTTTTTTAATATATATTTTGTTTTCCTTCTTAGTTATTTTTTCCCCTGACAGTAATTAAAAGTGAAACTGTACATTTCTTGACAGACTCTTGCACATATGGAGAGTTTGCATTTAAACGTGCCTCTTTCAGTCATACAGATTTTGGGTGCTCTTTTATTTATTTATTTCCCCCTCCCTTCTCTCCCTCCCTCTCGCGCTCTGACTGCTGCTGCTGCGGGGGCCGCTTGTCTCCTTCTTCCTCCTCGAAGCTTCCCTGGTCCCCATGGGGCACTCGGTGGTTCTGGGGTGAAGATGGGGTAGCACCTGTTGAGTTCATTTGGCTCTGACCGACAGCGATGCAATTAACGACGAGATCCTCATCGTAAATGGGAGAGGCAAATTAGTGGGACTCGCACGTCTTGGCCTCCAGCCAGCGCACCGAGCGGCTGTAACTTGGAGAAAGGCTGGAGGAGGAAGAGCTGGAGGAAGGAAAAGAAAGGAAAGATGTAAATGAAAGCAGCCTCCCAACCCTATTGCCCCTTTGTTTGTTGTTATTTCTCTTTGATGTCGTCGAGCGTGGGAGTTGGCTCCTCTTCAGCTGCTGTTGCTGCAAGTGTACGGGGCTGGATTGAGCTCTCCTCATCTTGTGGCAGTGCCTCTGCTCCAATGGAGAAGTTTGCCTTCTTCTCGGCATTGGTGGGAACAGCTTTAAAGGAAGTGGTGCTGAGATGGTCTGTGAGCATGGGTGAACTTGGAGTCTTCTTGCCCAGCTACCCCAGAGACGTTTCAGACCACGCAGATACCCGAGCAGCCCAAAAATCAACACATTTGGAATTAAAAGTTGTTCAGTCTTTATACTCTTCATGAAGATGCAAATGTGATTTTGTGCTGTGAACGGCATCTTCATAAACTATCAGAAGATATAGGGAAGAGAGAAAATGACAGTGATGTTACAAAGCCCCGCTTCTTACCCGCTTCTTACCCAGGAACTCCTGTTCCCACTCATTGGGTTTATTGCTGGGAGCCCCTTTGCTTTCCTTCCCTCTCCTCTTCTTGCGGGATCCTTCACAACAGCTCCATGCATCACTCCTGGCTCGGGGCAACGTGTCTGAAAGCTGCATGGAGAAAAGGATGTGGGTCACTTGGTCAACACTTGGCTGAACATGAGCCAGCAGTGTGCCCAGGTCTCAAGATACCCCAGTGAAAGTTCAAGTTGGACATTAGGGAACATTTCTTCTCCAAAAGAGCCATCAGGCTCTGGAACAGGCTGCCCAAGGAGTCACCATCCATGAGGGTGTTCCAGAACCATGCAGATGTGGCACTGAGGAATGTAGTTATGGGCATGGTGGGGATGGGTTGAGTTGGGGATCTCAGAGCTCTTTTCCAACCTTTATGCCTCTATGCTTTTTCAGTTTGTTTTTTTTTTACCATTGAGGGGAACAGGCTGCCATCAAACTGGGCAGGAAGGATCCTGGCAGCATTGCATCCTCTGCAAGAGATGAATTCTCTGAAGAATTGCAGGAATGAGCCTGAATGGTATTTTGAGGCATCCCAAGGATGCTGCCAGGCCCATGTGGACAGTGCATACATACAGACTCAGATCAACAGTTCTCTACAAACAAAACTGGTGGTTCCAAAACAGGAGCCCACGTGCTTCTGGGTGGCGCTCCTGTCTTCAGATGTTCAAACCTCATTGCTTTCCTGGGTGATTCTGTTCCCCCACCTGCTTGTTCCTGGTTGTGCTCTGGCCGCTCACCATGAAATAAAGCCCACGTATGGAGATACCTTATTAAAGGCAATAAAACTATGCTTGCTGTTTTCTTGCCTAGCAGAGCATCAACAAACCATGTGTATGTTAACACTAATCTCTTCTCTTGCAGGTTGTTGGTCTTCTTTTGCCCAACCAGACGATAGCATCCACTGTGTTTTGGCAGGTAAGACTTCATCTGCCTCCGTGTGCTGAATGGGTGGGGGATGTCGTGCAAAGGAAAGCAGCCTTGACTTGTGTCTTCAGGACAGCCCAGTGCATGCAGCTTTGTGGCACGTTAGGGGGAGATTATGGCTTTTAGCTTTAAAATCGCTTTATACCATGGCCTTAAAGTTCGTATTTAGACCTCATTGCTTATTTTCATGAACCAGTGCTTGTGCACGTGCCTATGTGTGGATGGAGTGCTGGTGAAAGCTGCATGCGTTTCTATCTCAGCTCAAAGGGTCTGTGTGTGCAAAAGCTTGTACAGAGATGTGGCAAATCACAGACAGGGTCCAAATGGAGGTGACACTCCCGTGTTTGTAGACCTGATTTTCTGCAAGGTTACATTTACATCTCTCTCTTTTTATTTCCTCTGTAGTGGTTGAATCAGAGCCACAATGCGTGCGTCAACTATGCAAACCGCAACGCGACAAAGGTGAGGAGACCCAGCATATGCGGCGTGTGCTGCATGCTAGCTCTGTTTTGACATGGAAACATAAGTCCTGTCTCTTTGCTGTTAATAGAAACTGCAGAGTAGGCACTGTGTTGAATTTGTAGCTTGGCCATTCTCCTGTAGAGACTTCCATTTCATTGTGGCTGTAAATGGCTCAAGGATCTTGAAATCACTCAAAGCTCAGGAGCAATGCTCTGTGCCTTCACACTGAGCTAGGGTGTAGTTTAATCAGTATGAAACCATTAAATTGGGTGTAAATGAGCACAAAGCAATGTCTGTTTGGGTGTTTGGATAGCAAAGGAAAGCTCCCTGGTCACCCTTCTGTATCATAAAGACGTTTGGTAGGCAGCCCAGGCATCCTGCTGACCTTCCTCTCTTCCCCTTCATCAGTGTTGGTTTATTTCTTGTGGGGATGTGGGAGCTCACAAGAGGAATCTGAGATGGAAACCATCCAACTCACTGTGATAGCATTTCAAGGACAAATATTTGATAAGGAGAGTTTGGGGTTCACTGCATGTGTATAAGAATAGCAATGTTTTTTTTTTTTTTCTATTTTTCCCACTTACTGAATTTCTTTCACATATTCTTTTAGCTGCTATTATTACAATTTGTGATGCCAATTAATTTTCCATCCCTTTAACCTTGTTCATGAGGTTACATCTTTCCTTGGGCTTGCCGCTGCTAGATGACAGACCGTGTGTCACAGAACAATATGACAAAATGAAACCTGTCTCTGGTTTAAAGAAAATACAAAAAAAGAAAAAGTACCCCCAAACAACAGAAACAGCTCAGTTGCATTTTAATAGCCAGAAGTTTGTTTATTGAAAATATGTTTTGTTTTTCTTTCCAAAGCCTTCTCCGACGTCCAAGTTCATCCAGGGCTACTTGGGAGCTGTCATAAGTGCTGTCTCAATAGCAGTGGGTAACGCTTTATGTATTACACTACTAAGTAACTGCTCCCTTCCAGCAGCACTGCAGTGCTTTTGAGATGTTTCTTTGAATTGCCAAGCATGTTTAGATTTTAATTGACACAGCTCAGTCTAAACAACAAGAAAATGTTTTAACCATGAGGAGTCTTTGTCCATGCATGCCCAAGCTTTTCATCAGAAGGAGACTTCTGCCACTGATTGCTTCCAGCATGTCCTGCACTGTGCTCTGCTTGGGTCTCTGTGCTGTTGCTTTGCTGCTGGGTGAACTCAAATTATCCACACATGCAGGGAGCCTACAAACAGGAGGGGAATCATCTCTTTGAAAGGGTAGATAGCATCAGGACAAGGGGAAATGGTTTGAAGTTGAGGGGGGGAAGATTGAGGTTGGATGTGAGGGGGAAGTTCTTTACAGAGAGAATGGTGAGGTGCTGGAACAGCTGCCCAGAGAGGCTGTGGATGCCCCGTCCATCCCTGGAGGTGTTCAAGGCCAGGTTGGATGGGGCCCTGGGCAGCCTGGGCTGCTGTGAAATGTGGAGGTTGGTGGCCCTGCATGTGGCAGGGGGTTGGAGCTTCATGATCCTTGAGGTCCCTTCCAATCCAAGCCATTTTGTCATTCTGTGATTCTGCATTAAGATGCTAGTGAATTAGCCCAGTCCAGGCTGAAATGCCAAGAAGTATGTCTGTGAGGCTGCAGAGTAGCAGTGTGATAGCTGACCTGAGCAGTCAGGCTTTGAAGATAGTCCCCTGGTGGCTCAGCACCTTGAATTAAAAGAATCATAGAATCATGAAGGTTGGAAAAGACCTCTAAGATCACCAAGTCCAGTCCCAACCCATCCCACCGTGCCCACTGACCACGTCCCCAGGTACCACATCATCACGGTTCTTGAATGTCTCCAGGGACAGTGACCCACCACTCCCTGGGCAGCTGTGCCAGCGCTTGATCGCTCTTTTGCAGAAGAAATCTTTCCTGATATCCAACCTTAAGGATCCTTAAAGAAAAGGTTGTTTTTCTTTTTTTACTGTGGCCCAAACTTTTGTCTCTGAAGCCTCAGATGTCCTCCTGCAGGCATTCTTTCTGCCAACAGACTGTACCCTGGGCAGTCAGCACTCAGCCTGCCTGTGGTGGGACGGCTCTCATTCCTCCTGTGCTGATTTGCAGAGGAGCTGAAGCACTTCAGGGGACAACCAGTGGGAGAAACTCTACCTCTGAAACAACATGAAAAGCTTCCCAAAGACCTGAGGATAAAGGAATTGCATCCAACCAGCAGTGGCTTTCTGGCACTGCAGGGTGGCTGTCCCCACTGGTGGCAAGTGGGTCACTTGGCGTTGGTGATGGGAGATGCAATGGACTTCTATGGGAGGCACTTGATACCTGCAAAGAGTATTGCATGGTATGTCATAGAATCATTGAATCCTTAGAGTTGGAACGGACCCTTAAAGGTCATTTATTCCAACTGCCTTGCAATGAATAGGGACATGCACAGCCAGATAGTTGTTTGTAGATCTGAGGGGTGCAGCGTTGCTCTGGGGAGGTGGCAGCTCTGCTTCCATCTGAGGGAGCAGTGAAAGGCAGCAGCTTTAAGGCTGCTTCCTCCTTCCTGATATGTGCAGGTCTGTTGGCTTCAGTGTACGGTCAGCTGTGGTGCTTGGGGTGCACTGAAAGTGGATACTTGCAAAAAGAAGGCAAAGTCTGCACACGGTGAGTCCCTCAACAGACAAGCCCTTGGTGATCAGAGCAAGGCAGAAATCCCCTATTGCTGGCTCAGAGCTGCCTAGAGAAAATCCTGCAGGCAGGGAATGATTTTTATGTTGTAAATATCTGGATTAATAACCAGCAGCTCCTCAAGAGGTTGTTGGTTTTGTTTTGTTTTGTTTTTTAAATGGTGATGACAAATAATTTAGCAGCAGCCTCGGGTTTCATTATGTCGGATTCTAAGGCCTCAGCCCTCATTAACCGGTCTCTGCTGTCAGTTAGCAACAAATCACCTCCCAGTGTGAGCCTATTAGGACCAGATGACCTGAAAACAAGTGCCACTGCCTCCAGTGGTCTGCTGAGACCCAGTATTAATTAAAGTGAGCCCCTTCCATGTTTGCAGTTGGCAAGCGATGCAGGGAGGAGGCTGGGGAAGCGACAGATCAGCTGGGTTGTGATGCTGCTTCCCATCGTCTTAACCCTATGCAGCATCATCTGAAGAGGGGGACAAACAAATGGCTTTCTCACGTGGATGGAAGAGCAGATTTTGGCTTTATACTTGTTGCAATTGAACTAGAAGTCTCAGCAGATCTTTACAAGTAACATTCTTTTCTCATTTGAGAGAAATGAGAAATCTCTGTTACAGAGAAGCAGCATAGATCTGGCTCTGGATCTGGGACTGTTGATGTGCAGTCCTTTGGGATGAGGAATTTTAGAGGAATTTATATATATACTATACATTAATATGGAATATATACGTATATTTTCAGTAACTTTCAGTATTTCTTTTTTTCAATATTCCTTTTCCTTCCACCTTACTGATCTGGCACCTAATCTGGTGGTTGGTAACCAGCTTGTGGCAGGGAGGTTGGAACCAGATGATCTTTGAGGTCCCTTCCAACCCAAACCATTCTGCAGTTCTTTGGTTCTACTCCCAGCCTGATTCACAGAATAGCTCTGGGCAAAGGAATCTATGCCAGAATTTTGTTTCTTCTCCAGTACAGTATTGCTTGAGACGAGGCAGAACTGACCTCAGAAGGATTAACCTTAAGATTGGTGAAGAGGAAGGAGATGGAGGAGCCAATATACCAGCTCTCCTCCACCTTTGATGTTCTTGCTTGTCATGTATGGTGTTTCCCCATCCTTTCTGTCAATGACACACTGCTCCCCATCAGAACCTGACATGAAAGAGGAAATGAAAGTATTTGTCTGAGATCAGTCATTTTTGGTACAGAAGAATAAATGGGGTTTGTCCCCATTAAAAAAAAATGGCCAGACTCCTTCCTTGAAATATGCCAGCTTATGTAACATTATAGATGGCTTTTATTAAGAGAATGTTTGGGATTGTTTGTGGGCTCAGGTCTTGTCAATACAAAGATAAATGTGTTGTTCTTGCTTAGCAACCTGAGCTAGGTTCAGAACAAAAGTAGGTGTTTTGTCTTTGGTATAAAACTGGAGCTGCAGTGGCACGTAACCACAACTGCCAACCAGGCTCTGGTTTTGTGTTGGTCTGTGTTCTTGAAACATCACAGAATCGTTAATGTTGCAAAAGACCTCTAAGATCCCCAAGTCCAACCCCAGCCCATCCCCACCATGCCCACTGACCATGTCTCTCAGTGCCACATCTCCATGTCCGACCACTCTTTTGGAGAAATTTTTCCTGATATTAAACCTGAACCTCCCCTGGTGCAACTTAAGGCCGTTCCTAAGCAGGGCATGAATGTTTTCTTTTGGTTTACCTTACTAGCTAACGTTGGGTTAAAAAAATCCGGTGATTGATAACCCATTAATAACCTCAGTGCCCAGTGCTGGTATTGATGGCTGGCCTTGGAGGCCAGGAGGGTGTTTAAAGCAGCTCTTTATGGACTGATCCACTGTACTCTTACAAGTGTTGATACAGAAAGACCACCATGCTTTCTGACCCTAAATACTGGCTTTGGACTATGAATCATCCCCCACTGTGCCCACTGAGCCTTGTCCCTCATGTTGTGTCCCTTCTGGTTGCTTGTCACTCCTCCTGTCCCTGTAGGTAGAAACAGAGTGAATGCTGCTTTGCTGGGTGCATCCAGGAGGATGACCATGGCTATCAGCTCTGCTTCAAGGTAGGGGAATGCAGCCCACTGACCTGCTGTCAGGTCCGATGGATGGAGTTCTTCAGAACAGGGACTCAATCAGAGATGCTCCAGGATTCAAATTCCCACTACTGTAGCAAGAAATCACTTCTCTCCATTCAGACATCTTGGAGGTCATCCTAGGGCAGCTTTCTCCTTAGTGATGTTATTTCTAAGAAAACATATCTTGCTTGTTGGTAAAGAAACAGAGCAGCTTCCTGCAGAGCTGTGAGCATGAGGATGCTCCGCTGTCTGTCTGGGTTCACTTCTAAACCTGCACACTGGGAAGACCAGAGCTGGTGGATATATGGAGCTCCTCATGGAGCTCCTCACTCCTGGGAGTGCTTCCTGGGGGCTCTTGTAGTTAATGTAGGGTTTCCATTGTGCTTCCTGAGTTCTTCAAGCATGGTAATTTGTCTTGGAGATTTTGGATTTTATTTCCATAGGTTTCATAAATCATAACCCAAGTGGGGATCTCAAACCTGGTCACAATTGGTCGAGCAGAAATGTTACATAAAAAATGGAACTCCTAAGTTTATGCTGAGTTGTAAAAAAGAAGAAAAAAAAAGGTACAGGAGTCTAATCTGCAAAGCCAAGCCTAGTGTGCATCTAAGAAATCAGCTTAAAGCAGAGCTTGCTTCTAGACAAATGGATGTTGCAAAAATGGTATTTTCAGACCAAGCATGTCTTTTTCCCCATAGAAAAAGTCAGCGTCTAACAGAATCAAATTTGCTTTGTCTTGAAAACATCCATTGTAACCTAAGATATTCTCGAGCCATGGAGGATTTCAGCAGGATCTTATTTACCTTCTCCGAAGGAAGCTAAGAGGTGAAGACAATTCAAGCCTAAGATTATAGCTGTAAAACAATATTAGCATCGTGATGGCTGTGCCACAGCCAGCTTTTGGCAATAGCTGGCCTTGCAGCCCGGGCTCCCACAGCTCAGCAAACTGTATAGCTGCTGCCGTTCCCAGGGAATGTTTGCTGCAATATGCAGATTTAAAAATATTGTGACACCATGGAGTGAGAACAATGGGGGGAAAAGTACATTAATATACTGCAGCTCTGTTCTTGAAGAAAGGAAGAGACGAGAAAAGGAAGAGACGAGAAAAGAAGAGACGAGAAAAGAAAGGAAAGGAAAAGAAAGGAAAGGAAAAGAAAGGAAAGGAAAAGAAAGGAGAGAGAAGAAAAGTGAAGAGGAGAGAGAAGTGAAAAGAGAAATGAGAGAAGGGAGAAGGAAAAAGGAAAGAGCTGTTGATGCTTGCAGACGGGATATTTATCCAAAATTAGAAGGGTCAATCTAAGGCAATAATGAGACAAATTAGAGTTGGACTGCCTCATTACCCTTAGAAAATTCACAAGATGAAAAAGAACAGGATCTTTACTTATTTTCCCAATTCAGAGTGGACAGGAGCACCTGTTGGCCTGAGTGGTCCCTTGGTGGTCCGGAGCACCCACGCTCTCCTGCTCACACCATAACTGGCCATTTGCTCTCCTCCCCATCGCGCGCTGAACTCGCGCACACACCGACACCATTTTTCGCCTCCCTCTCCAGGTGAAGGTGCCCCTGTGGATTTTTCTAATCCCAGCTCCCTCTTCCTGATAATTGTTTGTGAGCCTTGCAGAGCAGCTGCATTGACAGCCTGCGAATGGGGTGTGATGGCCGTAATCAGGTTGTGGGCCACCCACCGCCGTGGGGCTGCCGGCCACTGCGTGCGGCACGGAAAGCACGGGGCTGGAGGGAATCCAGGGAGAGCATCCAAAGGAGGGCTATGGAGATGGGAAAGGCTCTGCCCCACGGGGCAGTGGGCATGGAACAGTCTCCCCAGCGCAGTGAGCACGGCCCTGAGCTGCCAGATCTCGTGGTGCACTGGGACACTGCTCTCAGGTGCAGATTCAGGCCTTGGGTGTGGGAGCTGTTGTTCTCCTCTTTGTTCCTTATCGCCTATCAAATCATTGTGCCATTTTCTTCTACTGACATGCCCAACTGTGGGGCTGCTGCTGTTATCCCTTCTGCCATCGTTTTGGGTCTGACTGACGTTACCTCCTTGCCTTGCTCTTGTTTCTCTCCAACTTCCTTCTCCACTTAGTTCATTTCTGCTTTCCCTTCCCTGCGCTCCTCCATTCTGTTCTCCTTGGCTTGGTAAAGCTCCAGTTGGTAAACGGCCCAGTTTCCCATCTCTCTGCCTCCATCTTCACCTCTCAGCCCTAATGAATGATTTTTTTCCTTCCTTTTCCTAATGCTCTTTTCTTTAGTTTAGCTGGATGGGGCTCATCAGATCCAATTAGTGCTGTGGTGTTTTAATTCAGCAATCTGGTGATTTTGGGGCTGAAGAAGAAGCTTCCTTCGAGCCATTCCCTGCTTCCAAACTGGCTCTCTAAGTCACCTGAACCAGCTCAAACTGTGATATTCAGTGTGCTATTGCCCATACGCTGCTGAAACCTGGGAAAGGTGTCCCTGTTCATTGCAGGAAAGTTGGACTGGATGGCCCTTCCAACTCTATGGATCCTATGATTCTAGGAAAGCCAAATCCCTTGCATCATTGGAGCCCTAATCCATACAGCGAAGTCTAGAGACCATCTCATCAGCATCTTCCAACTCGTGTCTGCCCTGTTTGTGGGACTCCTTCTATTTAGTAAAAAATTTGCTGTCAAAATAATGCAAAATAACTTCTTTTTGAGTGAACCACTGATGTATTTACTGCTCTGGTTTAAGGGGGGGGGGGGGGGGGGGGAAGAGTTGGAGCTCCGTCAAGTGAGTCAGTCATTGCCAACGTGAGGAATTGAAAAGCCATTCCTCAAGCTTCAAAAATATTAGTAGTCATAAAGGAAAAAGTTGAATTTTTAGAATAAAAAAGGGAATTTTTTTGGTGTTGGTCTTACATTTTCCGTGTTTTTCAAATTCATATCATGGCGGATATGAAGTCAGAACTTTTTAGGGCAGGAAGGAAAAAAAAGAGAAAGGGAGAAGGAAAGGGAATCTCTTGGTAGCTGATTACACAGTCTCCCACTCCACCAGCCCTGGTTTCATGGTGCAGGAGTTCAGCATCCTCAAATCCCAGCTTCCCCAGCTCGTCAGGATGCGCTGTCATCCGAGCCGAGGATGGGCTCTGTAGAATGAAACCTCAAAGAAAGTGCAATCTAAAAAAGCTGGATCTGTCCCCTAGTCTGGGTTGCAGCATGGGAATATCCCGAATCAGTTCTACAACGAAACTCCTATTTAAAAGCCATGATCAGAGCTCACAGCTGCAATAAGAATCGCTCTTTGAGCCTGAGTTTGGACATCACCACCGTGGATATTTCCATCCCAGCTCAGTCCCTGGGCTCCTTTCACAGTCAGCAGAGCTGAATGGGCACCGCTGGGGGTGTTTTGTGTGAGCACACATAAATGTCTGTCTTGGGAGGAGAATAAACACCCTGAAAAAGGCACATTTCTCAGGGCTGGACTGCAAAGTGAGCCCATCTGGAGGTACCACATTTGCTCTGATGAATCCCACCTGACTCCGTTGCGTGTTTGCACAGCACAGCGTTGTAGATCCCAGCTCTGTGACTCAGACTGTGGGCAGGGTGAGGATAATAATACTCCCGCGGTTGTTTTCTTAGCTCCAGTGATGAATTTGACTCCGCAGTTGGTGTTCTTTGGCCAGCCCTAGGAATTACACCCATTGGCTTCTTGCTGGTGGAGGAGCTCCATTTCAGGGCTGGATGTTCTCCTGCCCGCACGCTGCTGTCCCTCTCCATGACCTGGCAGGAAGAAGTTCACAGGTCGACTTGAGTCATTGCAAAACTGTAAAAAACAAACCCTGATTAGTCCTTTAAACCTGGTCCTCGTGTTGGGAATTTGGGAGATTGGATTCAAATCTGCAGCAATGTTTAATTTCATATTCACAGCGGGGTGGTTGCTGTAAGTGGAGGAGCGAGTTCGTCTGCAGCACCAAATTGAATCTGAAAGTAAAATGCTTTTTATTACCACCAGCCTCACAGCAGCGTCGCTCCCGGGCTCGGCTGCATCTTTTCTGTTTCCAGAGCTGCTGCTCTTCCACTTCACGTTCAAATCCTTCCATCAAACCTACGAGCAGAGGCTGGAAACCCAACGCAGTTTGTCATCTCCGCAGATGAACTGTCTGCAGGCTATAAATACTCAACTCCGTGGGGCAGCACGTGCTGGGGGCTGTCGTAGCTTCACTTTTACAGGCAAGCTTTTTCAGATGAACGTCTGGAAGCGTTCGATTCTACAAATCCCAGAGCTTGGAAAATGTAAGAAAATAGCAATCGGTCATTTTTGAGAGGGAAGAAGATGGAGACGAAGCCCGTTAGAATAAGAGGAAACGCTACGGATCTTTGGGATCAGGATGGGGGGGTTCCCTTTGTGGTCTCAGCAGTGGTTTCATGGGGCTTTGGAAATGTTTTATGGGTACTTGGATCCAACACTGCTTGTGCAGGGCTTGCCCAGCAGTTGTGCTTCTCCACATCTTCCTCACAGCCTACAAAGAGACGAGATGCGCTGCGGATGCATGTATAATGTAGCAGCTTGCAAAATATGTTCTGCCCCAAATCACTATTTGTTGGCAGATTTTTGGCTTTGGCTGATTTTTTTTTTTTTTTTTTAATTTAATTTTGCTGCATTTTTGGCTGAAAACGTTTTGGCCAAGCGTTGCTCACAACTTTTTCCATTTTCGGCCGAAAATTCCCAGTTGGGGACTGTTGGGTTTTGTCTGAATGTTTGTTTCTTTGAAAGAGAAAAACATCGTGGGGGGAACTAATTTGAAGGCAGGAGCCATTCCCTGATAATGGGTTGGTTTGGTTTATAACCCAATTTCTGATCAAAACTTAATTTTGATGGAATTTCTCCAACTATCACCAGTATCTGACCACACGGCTGTGAAACAGACTTAGATCCTTTGTGAAACTGGAGAGATCAGCATCACACACGTGCTGGAGGAGGCACCCAAAAAAAGATCTGTGGTTATAATAAACTGCCTACTATCTCTTGCTCCTATTAATAGCTCCTTTGTAACCCAAATATTTGATGGAAGTGAAGTGATGTGTTGTGCACGGCCACAGAGGAGGGACGAGTTGTGTTGGAGCAATACAACTGGGCAAGGACTGGATGGGAAAGCCAGCAGATGGGAAAGTTTGCTGGAAAATGTTGGTAAATTGCGTAAAGTGCAGCAAAGAGCAGTTCCATGGGGGCAACACAGTGGTTTCCTGGCTGTCTTTTGCTTGCAAATGGCTTAAAACCCATCAAGGGTTGAACCCAATGCAACAGAACCCTACAGCAATGGGATATAGTTCTCAATAGAAGAATGGAGTGGTGAGGTGCTGGAACAAGCTGTCCAGAGAGGCTGTGGATGCTCCATCCCTGGAGGTGTTCAAGGGCAGGTTGGATGGGGCCCTGGGCAGCCTGGACTAGTATTAGATATGGAGGTTGGTGGCCCTACCTATGGTGAGAGGGTTCGAACTTGATGATCCTTGGGGTCCCTTCCAACCCGAGCCATTCTGTGATTCTGTGCATGGAGAGGGGCCCAGTCCGTCCCTGTGTAGGGTTCTGCTGCTGTCTGCAAGCTGTGGCACCTGTCCTGCTCTTCCTAGCTAAATTCTGGTCTGTTTTTTGGGTGGTGCTGTGTGGAACCAGGAGTTGGACTCGATGATCCTTTTGGGTCCCTTCCAACTCAGGCTGTTCTATGATTCTATCATTCTAAACGTTGCTGTTTCTCTGTTCTTTTGTTTTCTTCTTGTGTTCTAAGGTGGGCCTTAATGTTCTGGTACAGAGAGCAAACAAGTTTACCCCTGCCACTCGTCTCTTGATCCAGAGGTTTGTGCCATTCCCCGCTGTCGGTAAGAAATCACTCCTTTTCTCTGTATTATCACACCCTGACCGTGGGTAAAAACTGCTGATGGGGAATGGATCCACCCATGGGGATGGATGGAGCCCAACTCCAGATCCGCTCAGGTTGAGTCTGAGTCAGAGATGCACACGGGAAATTGTGGGCTCTTCTATTTGCATCCCAAGGTGTCGTGAGCAGCAGGTTACATCCATGTCAGCATTGATCGAGAGCCCATAATTAATTTGTTTAGCTTAGCCCATAATTAGTTCTCTAGTTCTTTTATTTGTGTGCTGTCATGCTTCATTATGTGCCAGGACATCAGGAATCGTCCTGCTAATTGCTGTTTTGGTGGCTTTGAAAGCTCTGAGTTACCTATTTGCAGACCTGCGCAAACTCATTAATTAAGACATGCCTGCCCATTGCTTCTGAATTGCCAGCCTGCAGCCAAAGGGCAAAAGTTAGCTTTTTCTACATGAAAACCAGGAGCTAATGTTAGGCTCTTGTTCCACCGCACACAGGATTAAGCAGTTTCCCTGAGAATCAGAGAATCACCGAATCAGGAAGGTTGGGAAAAGAGCACTAAGATCCCCAAGCCCAAATCCAACCCATCCCACCATGCCCACTGACCATGTCCTTCAATGCCACATCTCCACGGTTATTGAACGCTCCAGGAATGGTGACTCCACCAATTACAGAATGGTTTGTGTTGGAAGGGACCTTTAAAGGCCATCTGGTCCCATTCCTTGCACTGAACAGGGACACCCACAGCTCCATCAGCTGCTCAGAGCCCCATCCTGCCTGACCTTGGGTGTCTCCAGGGATGGGGCACCCAGCACCTCTCTGGGCAAGCTGTGCCAGTGCATCACAGCCCTTACTGTAAGAAATGGTTTTCTTATGTCTAGTTTAAATCTCCCCTCTTTTAGTTTGAAACCGTTTCAAAAAAAAAGCAGCTGAGAGCTGCTTTTGTGTCTGAACTCACTTTCCAGTAAATCACTGCCTGTTTCACAGAAGTCATTTCTAGGCCGTATTGCCATATTTTTTTTCTAAATTCTGAAAATCAGATTGTCTATACGTGTATTTATTTATTTCTCATTTCCCCTTCTATTTGAGACCTTCATGAAACCTAAATTTCATTGAATCATAGAGTAACTTGAGTTGGAAGGGACCTATAAGGATCATCGAGTCCACCTTTGCAGCACAGAGCATCTCCTCTGGTGCAGTTTTGTTGGAAAAAAAAAAAAAAAGAAAGCAAGAAAAACAGGGGACTACATTTGCTTTAAATGAAATACTCGGTGTCTTTTTTATTGTGGCTTAGTGAGCTGAAGGGTTGGTAACACAGATAGTTTGATAGATGGGAAGAGTGGTCCAGTAGTTAGAATATTAGAGACAGAGTGTGCGTGTGTGTATGTTCCTCTTATTCTCGAGTGTAAGGAGCATTTGTCACCACAAATCATCCTTGATTGCAGGGAGCTGCGTTCATATAGGGCTCACCCACCCACCACCCTCAAAAAATTAGACATTTGTTATATGACATGAGTTGAGATTAATTAGCGAATATTAACCCATCAAGCAGCGCAGAAACACATTTTTGGAAGCGGTGGTACTGCAGCAACAGTGGCTTTGCATTAGTTCTGGTTGGAAAAACAAAATGTGGGGGGGGGGGGGGGGGGAGGAGTTGCTGGAAAATGCCAGCTTGTGATAAAGAAAACTTTTGGAGGAATTAGTAGCTTTTCTATGGAAAATTTTAAGGATTTCCTGCAGAGATTTGGGTGTTTCTGCACGGAACCTGGAGGAAGGCTGCACCTGGGAAGGGTGTTTGTGAGCCACCAGCCCCATGTGTTGCCCCTGGGTGCGAGATTTGGGGGTAATATGGGGAAGACAACAGAAGATGAGGGGCAGAAGATGAGCAGGGGGAGGTTTTGCAGGAAGGGGATCTGTCCCCGCTGAGGTGTGGGTGCAGGGCTGGGATTTCTCAGATGCTTTGATGGCCAACCCCAGCGCATCCCTGTCATGTCCCACCATGCCCACCCCTGCAAAATAAGTCCAGAGAGCCCCTTCTTCCCCCTAAAGCATGAAAGATGAGGGCAGATGGTCAGCAGGACCACTGCTAACACCATGCATGACCATGAAAGCAACCTAGCCTTGTGTCTTTGGTTCAGACAAAATGGCTGTCCTCCTCAGATCTCAAAGCTCAGCTGTCCTTCATAGCTCGGTGAAATCACTTGTGGTGATTTCCATCACACCTCCTCAAAGTCATTGTTTAAGAAGAGTTTATCTGCTGGATTAGTGAGAGAGGTAAATCCAGCTGAGGATCTACCTTCAGAAGGGGCAGCTGTCCAGAATCAGTGCCTGGTTGTCCAAGCCCAGCTGGTCAGCAGGGTTAAGTCTTGTTTTGACTTGCCAAATCTCAATGTCAGATGTAGAATTAATGGTCACAATGGGAGTTGGGAACATGGATGGACAGCAACATCTGGAAATGCCTATATTTCTTTGCATCAGTGTGCTCCTGATTGTGCCATGTTAAAGGAAATTATTATCACCCCCTTCTTAAGCATCACATCTCTGTCTCAGTACAAGAATGAATTGTTGACTTTCAGAAACTTCTTGGCAGATTGATGAAAGCAAAGCTGAAGAGATGGTGTGGAGAACAGAAGCCTGCCATGTGGTATTGACCGGGGCTGCGATGCTAATCATCATGCTTTTCTCATCCTCAGCCAGTGCCAATATCTGCAACGTTGTCCTGATGAGGCACACGGAGCTGGAAGAAGGAATTGATGTTTTGGACAATAATGGAAACATCGTCGGCTCTTCCAGAATTGCTGCAAAACATGTATGTATCTGAGATGTACCTGGTGAGCACTTGCACGTACACAGCTGGCCTTCAGAGGGTGGTGAAGCACTGGAACAGGTTGCCCAAGGAGGTTGTGGATGCCCCATCCCTGGAGGCATCCAAGGCCAGGCTGGATGTGGCTCTGGGCAGCCTGGTCTGCTGGTTGGTGACCCTGCACATAGCAGGGAGTTAGAACTGGATGCTCATTGTGGTCCTTTTCAATACAGCCCATTCTATGATTCTGTGATTTAAGCTCAGCAACTCCCACAGCTGTAGGAACTGATGATTTAGAGCTAGAACTGGATGGCCTCTACTCCTCATGCATGAAGAATTAAGCTGCAAGACTTAATGCCTCTTCGCAGCCATGCATTTGGTTGGGTGGCCACAGAGTGGAGTGTGCTGGTGGGCACAAGCTCATGTCATGCACAGATTGCAGTATGTTAGTGGACCCAAGGTCATGCCCAGCAGCCCACTGGCTTGCCATAGTGGTTTGAAAGGGAGCAGACTGCCATCAGGGAGATCCTGCACCACCACCCCACTGCATTCACAGCTTTAGGATTTCTTCGTGGAAACTTGTAAGCAGTTCACGTTGAATACGAAGCAAAGATAACTTACACCTTTTTCTAAATGAGGAAGGCTTCATTCTCAAGCTGAGTTGCATTTTAACCCTTGCCATGTCAGAACTGTGTTAACACTGCCAACCCAGGCTCCGTAAGGGCAGCCAGATGTTTGTAGCCTTGTGCTAACACCTGGTTTGTTTTCCCGTGTTGCCTTCTACTCTCTGCCATCTGCTTGCAATTATTCCCTTTTTTTCCCTTCTTGCATAGTTTTGTCTTCTGAGCATCATCTGATTGTCTGAGGCGTGTTGTTTCCAAGTGGGCTTTCATCTGAAATGTAAAGCATGTACAGAAGCACACGCCCAGGCAGAGGAGTTAATAATATAATGCTTGGCATTTCTCTCGCTCCTTCTGTCCAAGGCTCTTAAGGCACTTCATAGACAGCAATTAATGTACAGATTTACAGTCCTCGGCAAGAAATGGGAGATCTCTAATATATCTCCATATTGTTGTTTAACAGGGAGCTTAAAACAATCTGTTGAAGGGCTCAGAGCTTCTTGATTGAGCCAGTTTGCCTCACTTAACATCACTGGCTTCAAGACCTTGCTTCCCCTCTCCATCCTAATGGTCTAGGGGAAGACAGACAGCATAGAAAATAGTTATTAAAAATGAAGGTACTGATTTAAGTGGAGTTGAAGCTTCAGATTTCTGAGGAATTCTGCTCAGATGCCATGTCCTGATGCTTCTTCCTGAATGGCACAGTGCTGGTTTTTGGGGTGTAAAATTTGGCAGATCCTTAGGGTTACACATCTGTGCCTCTCTGAGACCTTCTGGTTAGAAAGGATTGAGTGCTCCCAAGCCTCGCTGGATATGTAAATATCAGCATTCCCACTCCAGACCTACACTAACCTCTGCCTACATCTGGCAAAGCTCCACACGTGGTCAGAGTGCACAGGGCATCCCATGGGGTGCTGACAAAAGTGGCTGGAAGAGGTTATTTTTCATTTATGGAAACACAGTGGTGTCTCCTAGAGCATCTATGGTCATGTTTAGGTCTCATCTCAGGGGATTTGTATCTGTCATGCTGCCAAGCTGTTCTGCAGCAAGTCTTGTGCTGGGGTTAGAACTCAAGTAAGAGAGAAAGAACTGACACTGCTGCTTAACCCATCTGGAGATATTTCACCATGCAGCATCTGCCAGGCAGCACTGTTATGTTTGGGTGGGAATATGGTGGTATGACTGTTGTGGTCCCATGCATCACAGAGGTTATGAGGTGCACAGCCCTACTGCCTGCATTCATCTCTGCTTTATAACCCAGCAAGGGCTCCAGCCCATCGTATGTAGCAACAGAGTGAAAATCGCTTTGGTACAAATAGCTGATAGCAAACTTGGAAATGTGTTCTGGTATATTTGTTCATATCTGCAACACGAGAGGCCAGGCAAACCATTTCTATGTCTGCACACTGACTGTTCAGAGCAGGTAAATCCTGAGGTCTGTTGTAAATGTCTTATGTTTGCTGGTTTGTTCTTCCTTTCCAGGCACTACTAGAAACAGCCCTGACAAGAGTGGTCCTGCCGATGCCTATACTGGTTCTACCTCCAATTATTATGTCCATACTGGAAAAGTAAGTGTTGGGTAACATGCAGGGGGCACTTCTCCAGGGAAGGGAAAAAAAGATCCTCAGTAGGTGTTATTCATGTTATTCAATGATATTTCTTAGCACTGCTCCATCAGAGAGGTTTTTTTTTGTTTTTTTTTTTTGCATATTTTGGCCATTGGTATAGGTTGAGAGACAGAGCACAGATTATCAGAAATGCTGACTTCCATCTTTGCTTACACCAGAATCATTCCTGACAGATGTCCTTCTGGAATACTAGGAGAGTGGGCAGGGTTATTATTCATGTCTAAATGTCTCCTTTCACATTTCTTGATGACAAAAAGCCCCAACAACCTGCCCTGGCCATAGGACCTTCTTCTCACCTTGCTTTCCAACACCTCTCTTTCTTTCCTTCTGCTCAGTCTTCAGAGACTGATTAGAGCACTGAAAGACAGAGATGCTAAAGGGCTTGTTGCCTTTGTCCAGACAGCCAAGCTGGAAGCACTCTTTGAACAAATTTGTTGATAGTGGTTGCTCTAAAGCACTCTGCTGACAAAGTAAATAGCAATTAACACAACTGGGGATTGACCCATGGCTTTGGCTAGCCTTGTGTGCCCTTGTAGAAATACCCCTGGGCAATTTGCTCTCCTTAATGGAAGGGTTGGGTCTGCTTCTGTATGCACTGAGATTTTTAGCTTCCCAATATTACAAATATTTCTTTTCTGCACCCCTCCAGCACCCAGAGGCTCACACTGAGATCAGTTCTTCCCATGAGCTGGGTGTGGGGAAAAATGCAGCAACAAACTCACCTGGAACTCAGAAGTCAGTGTTTTCAGCCCTTGCTGACAAGGTGTGCTGTTTTTCAAAGGGACTGTGGTCGTTCCCTGCAGCAGAGCACAGTCCTGCTAAGTGGCAGCCTGTGTTCCTCCTGACTTAACCTGTTGCTTTCTGGCTCTGTCTTGGGAGCTGTTGGAGAGGGTCCAGAGGAGGACCACAAAGATGGTCATAGGGCTGGAGCACCTCCCCTGTGAAGACAGGCTGAGGGAGCTGGGCTTGTTCAGCCTGGAGAATAGAAGGCTGCGGGGTGACCTCATTGCAGCCTTCAGTACCTAAAGGGAGCCTACAAACAGGAGGGGAATCAACTCTTTGAAAGGGTAGATAACAGCAGGACAAGGGGAAATGATTTGAAGTTGAAGGAGGGAAGATTTAGGTTGGATGTGAGGGGGAAGTTCTTTACAGAGAGAGTGGTGAGGTGCTGGAACAGCTGCCCAGAGAGGCTGTGGATGCCCCGTCCATCCCTGGAGGTGTTCAAGGCCAGGTTGGATGGGGCCCTGGGCAGCCTGGTGTGGTATGAAATGTGGATGTTGGTGACCCTGCATGCAGCAGGGGGATTGGAGCTTCATGATCCTTGAGGTTCCTTCCAACCCGAGCTATTCTATGAGCAGCTCACCCAGTGGGGCCACCCCAAAGTACGAACTATGATATCCCAGGAGGGTCTTTGCTCTTCCAGTTGCCGTGAACACCCAAAAATCTTAATGTGCAGAAATTCAGAGTTTGCAGAAAATTGGTCCATGAATGATCACCTCCAATGCTGAGAACCATCATGGGTCTTGCAAAGCACCCACAGGCTTTAATAACACTGATGATGAAACGTGCTTTGTACTTGTGGCATCACCACCTCCTGCATTGATGCCATGAGGTTTACTGAATGCGGGCATGCGCTGGGTGAAATGCACTGAAACTAAATTAATCTGTCAAGCAAATGTGGATATGGAAGAGGGTTTTTTTGTTCAAAAAGTCATCGTTTTAACTAAAAGACAGTCCACGTTCAGGTTTGGGAGAGAATACTTTCCTTGTCACCACCCACGAAATGAAACTCTGTAGGTATAAAATACACGGGCACTGATTTGGCCTGAATTCTACTTAGAGCTTTGTGCCTACTGTTGGATTTCCCTTTAAATATCTTTGGATTCCTGGAAGCCTGAGTGAGAAGGGAGAGGGACAGAGAGTGGGGAGCAGTTTGGCCACGCAGAGGCTGTGGTTTGGCATTATGGGATGTGGAAACATCCATATCCGAGGGATTTGCAGTCCATGTGGACTCACAGATCTCTTAAATGAAGGATGCAGTCATAGAATCATAGAATGGCTTGGGTTGGAAATGACCTCAAGGATTATCAAGCGTCCAACCCTGCCGCAGGCACGGCCACCAACCTCCACATCTAATACTAAACCAGGCTGCCCAGGGCCCCATCCAACCAGTCAGAGGTGAGACATTATTTTGTAAATGAATTTGGAGCATTGGGTGAAAAGTGTAACTTTTAAAATTTAATAGAATTTGGGTTAGCCCGGGAATTGTTATCAAGCCTGGGAGTCGTTATCAAGGCATGTATTATCAATTTATTTATAGAAGTCCTCGCAGCATCTATAAATAAAAAAGAAGATGAGGGCTGTGGCTCAGTGTTTGAAGGCTGGAGCTCTGGAAGCAGAAGTCCCAGTCTGGAAGCTCTCCTGAGCCACGTGCAGCTGTGATTGTGCTGCAGGAGGGAACAGCTCTGCGGGGGACTGCTCTGCTTTTTGGGGGGTTGCAGCACCCAGGAGCAAAGCACATTCTCCCAGCGGTGGTTTTTGGTTCTGTAGAACCTGCTCCCTCCTTTTTGTCTCAGTGTTGGGAAAGTTTATTTTAAGTGGCCAGTTCCTGGTCGCCGTCTTTCCACTTGGATCCAGGTCTTTCCTCTCTCTCAGCCATCTCTCCATCTGCATGTTTTAACTCCCCCAGCTGCCTCTCTCGTCTCTTGTGCCATTTTTTTCAGCTCTCTTGGCTTCTCTCGTCTCTTTGCCTGCTGTGTATTTTAACTCCCAGGGCCGCCTTCTCTGCTCTCCAAGTAATTCAATGTTACCTCCCACTGCTGAGCTCCGCGGCGCTCCATTCTTTCCCCATGTTTCATGCATTTCCTGCTGCTTGGACGCTCTGTTGAAGCAGCTAACATATAGAATCAATGTTTATTTTGAGACTGCATATGCCATGCGGGGAACACGGTGTCAGTTATTTTGTGCAGATGTATTCTCATTTAAGTTTTATAAATAATATCTGTGTTGGCAACTTTAATACGGGAAAATATTGGTTTTTGTATTGTCTGTGAGATGGAGAGGACTCATCCGTGGGATCTGACTGACACTGGGTCAGACAATGGGAACTTCATTGGTACCTCTGCATTACAGAGATGTTAGGACGACTACATAGAACTGTAGGATCATTCAGGTTGGAAAAGACCTCTAAGATGACCAAGCCCAACTTCAACCCATCCCACCATGCCTACTGACCATAGTATCATAGAATCACAGAATCATAGAATGGCCTGGGTTGAAAAGGACCGCAGTGATCATCTAGTTTCAACCCCCCTGCTATGTGCAGGGTCACCAACCAGCAGACCAGGCTGCCCAGAGCCACATCCAACCTGGCCTTGAATGCTTCCAGGATGGGGCATCCACAACCTCCTTGGGTTTTTTTTTTTGACCATATCCCCCAGTGCCATGGTTCTTAAACACCTCGAGAGCTGGTGACTCCAGCACTCCTCTGGGCAGCCTGTTCCAATGCCTGCATCTACTGCATTAAGATGGACTTCTTGTCCATCAAACATTTCCCTTTATTTACATGCTACTCTGAATGTTTTTACATAGTAGTTACGATCAAATGTGTGAAACTGCCTGGGTTTCTCCCAGAAAGCTTTCAGCCAACTGCCACCATCGGACACTTCTGCCTGTATCCTTTGCCTGACTCCGTGCAGAGCTGAAGCCCATCACAGATGGTCTGTGTGCACACCATCCACATCTGTACGCACGCCCAGTCTCAGGTTCCCCTGAACTCTGAAATTCAGATTGTGTGATCTGGATGAGCAGTGGACAGGCAGACCACTGCCCTGTCCATGGACACTTGGAACCGATGGCTGCTAGTGGTGATAGAAGAGCCTACGTTCTTCTCATTCCTGTCTCTTTAACCTAAAGCCTCTTTTCTACCTCCATAATTCAAGCAGCTTCAAAGGGTCTGATGTGCAGAAGGAGGTCTCAGGATTGCTCCAGGGACTCGTGGCTGGACACATCCCTAAAGCTGACCTTGCACGGAGGAGGGGGATGAAATTGGTACCGTTAGCAATGCGCAAGAGCTGAGGGAGAAACAGGGAGCAGGAGAGATGTGTCCCTGAAAGAGAAACATTTCTACTCTTTCTTCATCTCCACATCACCCTGATTTTGAGGCTTGCAGAGCTGCTAGAACCACAGCAAATCAGCTGTTCCATAAACCTCATCAAGTCAGGACAATCCGAAGCTGGATCAACTTAGGGAGCTGCTCTGGCCAAGTCATACTGATGGTGTGAATCATCTGATGGTCATAGAATCATAGAATGGCTTGGGTTGGAAGGGACCTCAAGGAGTGATGGATTCTCGTGATGGACAGTCAGTGCTCAGATCATGGTTCCATGGGGGTGGCTTTCTTAAGCTTCAGCTACATCTGTTACTGCAGAAATGGGCATGGAGATCCTCTTGGACCTCAAGTTCACGACCTTTTGCTGGACTTATCCTTTTGATGGTGTTTGCAGAATGCATTTCCTGCAGGTGCTTTTCCTCTTCTTCAAGTCTCTCCATCCAGCTATAAACCCTCTGTAAAGTTTGTTTGAGCTAAACAGCTGCCAGCAGTGACACCTTAAACTGCCGTGGCTGTTTCCAGAGTAAACATTGAAACTGCTCCTTTAATTATGTCAATCAAACAACAAAAAAAAATCCCCCAACATCACTCCGTTTGCATCTGCTGCCTCCCCTGGTGCAAGCACTGGGTCCATTGCTGGAGCAGGAGATTGTCTTCAACATGGACAAAGACAGAGGACAGCGGTGGTCTGGGTGGACCGATGGCAGCCAGAGCCCCTGGTCCGTGGAGGAACCCAGCTTTCCCCAAATTACCCCAGATGAATGCTCCGAACCATTCTGCAGATAGCAGTTGGGCTGTCTGAAGCAAGACCTGGTGCTGGCATCGGGAG